TCATGGATTCTCAATCCTATCCCTTCAGCTATGCTATGCTTCACTGAGTGCTTAAAGCAATTTTGCAAATGACTTCTTGTGAGTAATGCACTTAACGCAGATGGGCTCCCTGGCAGCATTTGTCATGCAGTCCGTTTTCTGAGGCATGCTTTTTGCCAGGCGGCCCTTTCTGGAACCAGACAATTGGTTCGTTGATTTGTTTGATTAAGTTGTTGCTCTGAAGCCCTCAAAGTGTTGGTTCTGGTCTCTAAGGTCTGGAGAAACCCAGAGACGGATATTTGCAGTGCCTAGCAGGCGGGATCTGAGACGCTGAGATTCCAGCTGGTTTCTGTCTTTAGGAAACTTCCTGAAGACAGAAACACAACGAGAAGTGGAATGATTGATGGAGCATCTCATGTATCTGTTCCCTCTGGGGACCAGAACACGTCATGGACCATCCGGATTCTCAGGACACTGGTTTTCCTGCACTGGGACAGAGAGACCTGTACTGGGAGCTGTACTGGGAGCTGTACTGGGTGAGAAACCCATTACCAGGTAAAATCCTCCATAATAAATCATGTCCTGTCTGGTTGGACAGCTTTAGATGCAGCAGAGGTGGATCCGTATTTTTCTGAATGATTTAGCTCTGCTTTGCTTTTCTCTACCTGCTTCATAGATCAACAACATCCAGAGTTATTTCTCCTTCAGAGCACAAACAGAGTCTGTAACGCATCTCCGGCTCCGTGTCGTATTGACTGAAGTAATAATTCAGCCCTCCTCTTTCATTCTGTCAGCCTGCGATATACACAGCATGAATACCTGGGAGTGCAGTGTTTGCTCTGCCCACTGCAGCACAATTTATTCCTGCACATCTATTACAGCATGCAGAACATCATGGCTGCAAACACCTGCATCAAATAGACCCATTCCTCTCAGCATCAACCTGCTTCAGGAAGAACGAAATAAAAACATATTCAGTGTTTATCAGGTTTACCAATACAACACATTTTCTGCCCTAAATTATTTTAAATGATGGAAACAAAGAGGAAATAAGTGAGTAACCCTTTGATTGCGGCTGCTCAGAGATGAACAGCAGCTCCAGGAAACCAGTAGGACCAGTTATGGAACCAGTGGAAGGACTGCAGAGGAAACCACTTCAATGAAAACACAGAAAATCAGTTCAACCGTCAACAGAACTCACATATATGATCACAGTGTAGGGTGACCTGACCTTTCACGACCTTTCATGACCTTTCACGACCTTTCATGACCTAATGTAAATGTCTGTGAACCGTGGGAGGAAACTGGACCCGGAACAGAACTCCATGCCTGGCTGGGATTCGCTGCCGGTCGGTTCTCCATCATGCAGCTCTGCATCATGAATCTGGATGATATTAAATCTCACAGGTGGAGGAAGAGTTGAGCTGTGATTAACAAATGTGACCCAAAGAGGTTTTATAATCTGTTCACTAATCACAGAACAATCTGAGAAGATTTCATCCTCCTCCAGCTTTTCTTCTGCTTTTTGGTATCAATTATCCTAATTATGTTTCAGGTATTGATTCAGAGCACCATCACTAGACCGGTCCAGCATGATGATTACAATTAATAACACTTTAATTAAAACTAATCAAAGGTGTGGGCGGACAAAGATGATTTTTTTTCTCTTTTTCCCAGCATGCCTCTGACCCTGCGGTTCATCTCTCTTTGCTTTTTTGCAGTCTGTTCAGGGAACTTGAAATCTGTATTTGTCAGTGTAAAAAATAGAGGAGCATGCGGTGTTGATATCCCTGCAAACCTCCATATTTTATCATGTCATCATCATTTATTCATGCTGCGTATTGATCTGCTCTTTCCTCATTCGCTTGCATCCTGCCGCGGCTCCTTTCACCTGCAAACAGCTTCAGCAATTATAACTGCATGAAATATGAGCATATTTACAGCTGATGTACAGTGAAGCAAACTGTGATAGATTACTTTCATATTTTAGTTGAAATGAGAGCTAAACCATTTTTTATGAAGTTAGAGAAGATACTAATGTGTAGAAAATCTTGTTAAAACTGGAAAACTGAAGCTATAATCATCATTTGAAACTTTTTCCATCTTTAATGTGACATTTATCCTTTACAATATAAAAAGTAAATTTCTCTAATAGCCTGATTGCAGACGTGTTCACAGCCTCAGCCTGTATTAGTTCAGCAGTGCAAACATCCAGGTGTAGAAATGCTTCTTTTTTTATCTCATTACAGCTAAAACGGCTGAAAATCACTTTGTTATTCTGGTTTCTGCCGTGAATCCAGCAGAGACCAGACCGTTGATTTAAACTTCAGCAGAAGTTTAAACCAACGAGGCCGGAGACGTGGAGCTCTACTGCCACCTGCTGGTTGTTAGCAAACCTGCAACAACCCACAGGCTGCAGGTGATTCGCAGAAATCCTGCAGTTTTGGTTTGATGCAGGTGACTGATATTCAGCTGAATACATTAATCATATCTCAGTATTTTTATGCTCTGCGTTTAATTTTATGTAAACTCGGTTTGTTTAGCATCCAGTTCAGCGTCTCTGGATGCTGAACTGGATGCATTGTGATGCCAGCGGTGTGCTGGCCGTGTGTGTGAGTGTGTGATGAAAGCCTTGAACCTGATGAGCATTCAGGGGAAGAAGCAACATGTCTCCAAGCAATCAGCGCAGTGAGGTGAGTCTGGCAGCTGCCGCTGATCAGCAGGCTGCAACCAGGAAAAGGTTTTCTCTTCCTTGCCAGGAGGAACGTCTCTACAAAACCTGAGTTGAGCTTCGCTGCAGTCAACTTTCCTTTTGTCTCCTCAGACACACACGTGTCTCCCGCTTATTTCCCACAGAGACGTGTGAAGCATCATCAAGGTGTCAACATGAGAGCCAGAAGCTCCATCACTGCGCTCCGAAAACAACACAGAGCTTCACAGTTCTGGCACGTCCTCCTGCACATTAGTATGCAGCTGCATCAGGACTCATTTGAAGTGATGTACTTTAATTTGTGATGAAGATGAAAGTGTGTTTTTGCCTCTGGTCAGACTGCAGCATCAGCCAACAAGTGGGATTAGCGCCGTTACTCAAGGACACTTCAGGAGGAAGCCGGAGCCCATGTCCCTCTGCAGACTGCTCATTAGCTTCATTTATACATTATTTAGCATTTCATCCATCGATCAGATCAACTCTAAAGTCCAAACAGAAGAGCAGGTCACCAGGCAGGAATCGGTCCAGAACAGCAGGAGGAGAATCAACTCTGCAAATATTGACTTTTCATGGAAATTTGATATTTTTGCTAATAAAAATTAAACAAATATGATTTGATTTTACAAAGGAATCATGTAAACATGTTAAAACCAGAATAAACAGCTAAAGTGTCGCAGGCCTCCCTCATGTTTCTGTTTATGTTCAGTTATTGATTCTCCCTCAGTAATAAATATTTACCAAATGATCAAACTTCTCCTGTTTCCAATCAGACTGATGTAAGAAGACGCAGAATAAACCAGGGCTGGTTCCTTATTATTATCACTCTACCCACATTTATGCTGGGAATACTGCAGTAAGAGGGACTGCTGCTGCGGGAAGAAATGCAAAAATATAAAGCTTGCAAAGACGTAAATACTTTACAGACATTAGACTGAAGTAAAAGTCCCTGTGACTCCACAGACGGACCCTGCAGACACAGCAGCAGTCAGGGTTTGAAGCATGGCTGTTATTCCTGCTGTGGACACTAGGTGTCCTCATTTCCCCAGATGCTTGATGATGATGATGAACCTTCTTCATCTGTTCTCTTGAAAACCTGAAGCTCAGCAGGAAACAGAACAGATCCCAACATGAAGCAGGAAAGTGAAATAATGAAACGTTTTGGGTTTGTCATCAGAACAGGAAGTTCATCCCGGTTCTGTTTGCTGCTTCGATTCCTGTCAGCTAACTGAACTGACAGGCTCAACATTTAAAATCTGAGTATTAATGCACAGCTGATTTTCATATCTATATTTAGCATCGCAGGATTTCATGTTTTATTATCTTCATCAGCAGCTTCAGTAAAGCCTGAATCCTCTGACATCCAGCAGCTGCCAGTCGTCATAAAGCAGCTTCACACTCACTATAAACACATTTTAATTTTATGCACTTCAGGTTTGATAAATCAAATCAGACCAGATCATATTAATTATGCTGTAATTCATGCAACCTGAGTGTTTTTACTCTTTCATAAAGCAGTCAGATTAAATGCTTACGATTCTCTGGATAATCAGGAATACAGGAAGAATGTATGGACTTAAAAATAGAGTGAAAGAATTGCACTTATTTTAAAATGAATTGATTTAAACTATATATTTATAAAATATAAGTTTGTCCAACTGTAGTGGTCACAACCTCCACTCAGCTCAGCAAACCAAACAGACATGATGTGAAGCTAAATGAACAATAATCATTTTCTCACATTGTTATTGACGACTCTTTTAAAGTGACTTCCTGTTTCCTGTTTGAGATTTCACTGCTTCCTTTGTGAAAGATCAGCTGCAGTCTGACGGTTTCATCGAGATCCGACCTGCTGCACCTTGAATTCAGAAACCTGGAAAACCAGAATTCATTTCCTCAGGTCAACATGGCCTGAGGTCAACATGACCCTGAGGTCAACATGACCCTGAGGTCAACATGACCCTGAGGTCAACATGACCCTGAGGTCAACATGACCCTGAGGTCACTGACTGACGACAGTTGCAGTTTTAACTTTTATTGTCTAATTTGATCAGTTTGAAGTCAACTGATGTTTGGCTTAGTTTTTGTAATTCAGTCATTTCTCCGGCTTTTACCGTTGTTCCAAAGTTCTGACAGAAATCCCATCAGATCAATGATATAAACTCAGAATCGGTCTTGGGTTCTGTTCTTGGGTTCTGTTCATGTCTGGATATGAACTGGACCTGACTGCTTATAAACTACATCATCTGCAGATGAATGAAGAGAAACTTTTGCTTCTATCCAGGATTTGAAGGAAAAGACAAAAGAGCAAAACGACTTTTTAATGTTTTTATTCACTGACTAAAAGAGAAGCATTCATTCAGCATCAATCAGCAGCCAGCAGGCCGACCCGCTCCGACCCGCTCAGTTCAGAGGTCCTGCTGCCCCTCCCCAAAACAACCCCGCCCTTCTGCAAGGAGAGACGACCTCTGACCCCCAGCTGGGATGATCTGAAACCAGCTGCACCTTCTCAGGTCAGATTCAAGTTTGATGTGTGCAGATTTCAGAGGAAGTGGGCGGGTTTGTGTGTGAGGGTCCAGCTGTGTGTTCTGGAGGTCGGGGGTCAGGGCCTCTGCTTGGAGGAGGAAGGAGAAACCAGCGCTTACATCAGCAAACAGTCACACAGGAAGTTACACTCAGAGTAAAACCATTTCTGCAAAAATAAAAGCCAAAACAACAACAACATGGGGTCTGATGTACAAACTCTGATTCGTGGTTTTAGAATCAACTTCATGTTCAGAATCTGAATAAGTTGCATAAGAGGAAACACCACGACGAGTCGCTGACACCGTTACAAATATGCACTGAGTGACTCCATATATATATTCATCTCTTTATATAGTTTCTATTTCTTCCTCTATGGTTTTCTGAAGGCGCAGCCGGGCGCCGTCAGCACTGCCCCTTGTGGCCGCTTGTGAAACTGCTGTTATTGCAAACTGTCCTGATCTGAAACAAATGCACAACATTCGTACCACGATAGAACCGGGGGCCGTCTAGCCGGTCTCACGGAGACCAAGAGCGACCCGCTGCCGCCGCCGCCGCCGGGTTGGCTGGTCACACTTCAAAACATCTTCAGACTAAAAGATCTCAGAAATCATCATCATAAGGCCAAGTATTGTCATTGCACGTTCTCTTAGTTCACATCTACCACTGCTGCTCTGTGACGGCGAGAGAATGGAAAGCAAATATAAAAACAGAAAAATAAAGTTTGGATTAAACGCGTTCCTCTTGCATAGTTGATGCTGGACTGGGCAGCAGGCCGGCCCGGCCGCCTGATCGGCTCTGCAGTCCATCAGGACTCTGTTCAGCAGCCAGAAGCAGATCTGATCTCTGACTTCCTTTAACGTCCAGAGGAGTCTCACCAGAACCGCTGGTGGGTTAGCCAGCCTCCTGGGCCAGAGCATCAGGCCCAGGAGCAGCTCCTCCGCTGCACATCCAGTGTTTCTCACATTTACATTCCTGCACGAGTCCAGCTCTCTGCACGCTCCTTCTGACCGAGCTTCTGGTCGGAGGAGCCGCTTCAGCGTCAGGCTGAAGGAATCTGAGATAAGAGACGGGAATCTTAAAAATCTGGCGTCCCTGCAGATCTGACCGTCTGCTACTTTGGTTCTGAGCTGAGCGGGTCCAGCAGAGGGACACAGAGAGTTAGAGGCCAGCTCTCTGATTGGACACCCGCCTGACCTCTGGGTCACCGTGGGTACAGGGTCGACTGTACCCAAGGTGAGGATCGTCCAATCACTCCTGGACGGGTTTCAACATGTCAGAATGATAACGCCCCCAGTCTGGATGGAAACGTGAAATCAGCTGATCATCTCTGAACAGCGCCACCTGCTGCACGAACAACATAGCGATCTGTCAATAGATATCATTGTCTATGCACACTGATGGAAGGAAGGAGCCCCGCCCTTCATGTGGAATGTTCTTTCCTAAATCAGTTTACAGCTTCATGGAGCCAGAACCCGCGACCCCATGACCCCTGACCCTACGGTAACACTGCCTCGCTCCTCACAGAGAAAACGGGAGAAGAAGGCGGTGAGCCCAGAACTCCTGATGACACGGACCCTGAGAGCCAATCAGAGGTAAGGACTCGGCTTGGCCACGCCTCCACTTCCTGCTCCGCTTTGTTTCCCTGTGAGATCCAGAACCGACCCGGTCCAGAGAGCAGGAGTGAAGGTTGTTCCTCAGAACGGGTCAGCAGAACAGAACCGGGTCCGGAGGGATTCATCGCTCACACAGGTCTCCTGTCAGCCGCGTCACAAACACAGGAGAACACAGGATGCACCAGAAAACTGCAAACGCTGGTTCAACTATCGTTACAGCAGTTTGGACCGGAGCGGACCGACCAGAACCAGAACCGCCAAACCCAAAGGTTCAGAACCGGGCCTGCAGAGCCATGAGCCCTGCGGGACTCCACAAGCTGTCTCCTTTCAGAACACTTTGTGCTGCCGCGTGTCGGACCCAGAACCGGTGGGACCGGGCCGAGTCGGCGCTGATCCGCTCTCAGAACGACAGGAACTGATTTTCAGTCTGACTTCCTGTCTGAGTCGAACGCAGCAGGAAGCTGCAAAAATCAGATTCTGACAAAACGGAGAGGAAAAGACGCTGACCTCTGACCTCTGCCACCCAGCTGCGACCATGGCAACCATCCTGAGCCGCCAGAGCGCTGCGTTCAGTCCAGGACACCATGGCAACCACGACCCGGTCGCCGCTGGCGCCGAGGCTTTCCTGCAGCCGGTAAAGTTCTGGAAACTCAGAACCAGATTTGGACCCGCCGTCTCCCGTCAACCTTAATCGTTGAAAACAAATGTATGATTAGGTTCTTTGGGCCTCGGGCCGAGCCGGGCCGGGCCAGGCCAGGCCGGGCCGGGCCGAGCCGGGCCGGGCCGGGGGTCCAATCAGACCGCCAGTCGGGCCGGGCCGAGTCGGGCCGGGCCGGGCCGGGCCGAGGGTCCAATCAGATGGCCAGACGGGCCGGGCCATGCCGGGCCGATCCGAGCCGGGCCGGGGGTCCGATCAGACGGCCAGACGGGCCGGGCCGATCCGAGCCGGGCCGGGGGTCCGATCAGACGGCCAGACGCACAACAAATCTAAACTACTACACCGGAGAACGGGGAGCCGTTTCCAAGGCAACTGTGACATCAGAGGAAAAGAAAGGTGATTGTTTTGCACATCATCAGCATCAGAGCGACGCCGCAGGCCGACCCGACCCGAACCCTGAGCTGGCGCAACCAGAACCATTAATGTGCTGCAGGTTCCAGAAAGAAGGAAGGAAGGAATCTGTGATGCGTGAAGCTCAGCCCAGTTTACATTCAGCGTTCCAGCTCTTCAGAACCGGGCCTGCAGAACTCAGCCGCTGCTCCGGCCCGGTCCAAACAGTTTTACACGCCGGGAACCCGACTCGTCAAGAATAAAGCCAGAACTGGAGTCGGCCGGCTGTGAAAGTTAAAATCAGAACATCAGATGGTTCTGATCAGCTGGAGGCTCAACAGGAAGTAACAAAACTCTCTGTGACACTGCCTGACACGCCCTAAGAATTGACCTCTGACCTTAAAATACCGGAAAATAACACATTCAGTAACCAGTCAGATCATAAAACATAACACCCCCACCTGAAAGAAAAGCAGCTGCAGCAGTCGGCCTGGCCTCCGTCACCAACCTGCTGCGTCTGAGCAGGATCACAACGAGTCTGTGTCCAAACACATGGGGCGCAGGGGTGAAAGGTCACCACGAGGTAAACAAACAGAGAACACACAGGGGGGGCAAAAAACTAACAGGGATCAGAGTTACATCACACAGAGGCTCCGCAGGGGGTTAGGGTGATGGAATAAGAACCGATCCCACTGTGGGCCAGACCGGACCGGACCGGACCGGACCAGATCGGACCAGACTGGACCAGACCGGATCGGACCAGATCGGACCAGACTGGACCAGACCGGATCAGACTGGATCAGACCGGATCAGACCGGATCGGACCAGACCGGACCGGATCAGACTGGATCAGACCGGATCGGACCGGACCGGACCAGATCAGACCGGATCAGACCGGATCAGACCGGATCAGACCGGACCAGACCAGACCGGATCAGACCGGATCAGACTGGATCAGACCGGACCGGACCAGATCAGACCGGATCAGACCAGACCGGATCAGACCGAACCGGATCAGACTGGATCAGACCAAACCGGATCAGTTCAGACCGGATCGGACCGGACCGGACCAAACCAGACCGGATCAGACTGGATCAGACCGGATCAGACTGGATCAGACCGAACCGGATCAGACCAGACCGGACCGGATCAGACCGAACCGGATCAGACCAGACCGGACCGGATCAGACTGGATCAGACCAGACCGGATCAGACCAAACCAGACCGGATCGGACTGGATGAGCCCAGACTGTACAAAGTCATTTCAGCTGACTAGTTAAAAATGTCAGGAATTTCATGAAGAAATTTGTTCCGATTTCTAAATTAAAAACATAAAAGAAAAATAAAGACTGAAGCAAATTTAATGAAATAAAAACTAAAATAAAAGCCGATCCTGTGAGTGTGAGCTCTGCATGGTTTACTCAGGTCTGCTGTGTTTCCAGCTGGTCCGGTCCGTCCGGCGCCGCTACACGCCGGCGCTGAAGGCGCGCAGCTCGCGGTGGAAGTGTTGGGTGGGTTCGGACAGAACCACGGCGGAGTCCAGGCAGGGGTGCCAGACGCGGCCCAGGCCCAGAGAAACCTCCTTCACCAGGTTGTGGACCGGGTCGCCCTCCACGTAGAGGGACTGGTCCGGGTCGAAGTCCACGCTCTCCTCAGAGACGGTGAGGACGCGCAGGCTGGCGCCGCGCAGGCGCGAGATGGCCACCAGGTTATGGGACCACACGGTGTAACCTAGGCGACGGAGAGGGGGGGTCAGGCGCTGCAGGGCTAACCCCGACCAGAACCACCAGAACCCGGGTTCTGCACGCTTTCATGACTGAATTCAGAATTTTTCAGGAGAAATTTAAAATCTCTGCTCCGTTTTTTAACCTGAACACAAACGTTCAGTTTTTGAGGATCATTTTTATTAATCATCAGTTAATCCAAAAAATAAACCTGAAAAGTGAATATTTCATAAAGTATCAGTGGTTTTAGTTTTCAATACCAGCAATAACTGATCAATAACCTTCAAACGTTACCAATACTGAGAGCAAAGCATTTCTATTCCCTGGTGAGGTTGGAAGTTGCCGACGGTCCTTGAACTCACCGTGGATCACCAGGACGGCCAGCTGGGTGCAGCGCCACGCCAGCAGCACCAGCGGGTCCTCGTTGCGGTTGATGCTGAGGTCGGGGAAGCCGGGCCCGTCCCTCAGCAGCAGGAAGTGGGTCAGGGTTCTGTTGTACTGCTGGGAGATGAGCTCCAGGGCGCCGTCCGTCACCAGCGTGCTGTAGCTGTCCAGGTGGAGGCGCTCCAGAGGAAGGCTGGGCTTCAGGACGCGGAGCAGTTCTGAGCTGTCCACCTCCAGAGCCATCATGTAAACGCGCAGGTCGGCGCTGACCCGGACCTGCGGCGTCAGGGAGCCTCCGTCAGAACCGGCCGGAGTCAACAGCAACGGCTGCCGCGGCGCCGACTTACCAGCGCCTTCCAGTCGTCCTCTGTGGCCGTGCCCTCCAACGGTTTGAACTCCAGGGCGGCGCCGTTGAGCAGCAGCGACAGGCGGTGGAGGGGAGCTCGTCGTGGCGATGCCAGCAGACCACAGAGCTCCGGCGTGAAGTCGCAGAAATCCAGACCCAGAGAGTGAAGGTTGGAGAGCCGGTCCAGCTCTGAGGGGGAGACCAGGGGCCCTGCGGAGAACGGGCGACACCGTCAGCACGCCGCTCAGACCCGATCCGGCTCTGCAGCCGTCAGAACCGGACGGATACTGACCCAGCTGGTGGTCCAGTAAGCTGAGGTGCTGCAGCGTCTCGGCTGCCGGGTTGGAGAGGCAGGAGAGGGAGCAGGGCGTCGCCACACCCAGCATGAAGCTGCACGACAGCCAGCGCAGCTGGCGGCTGTTGGACAGCAGCTCCATGAACAGCTGCTGGACCCTGCAGGTCAGAGGTCAAAGGTCACTTCAAATCAGCAATCGCTAATCGATCTCAAAACTCGCCACATTCTGCAAATTAAAAAACAATGACAGTTTCTTTAATCTTAAATACTAAATGTAGATTTTTTTGTCCAGTTTTGGTTTCGTTATGGCTCAATAAATGGCCTATTTCAAGTCTGTCTGCTCCAGTTAATGATTTATCAATTAATCACAGCACTGATCTACTTCTTTCACTTCTGATACCAATATCTGAGCTTTAGTATCAGCTGATCAGAAACAAAAAGCAGAAAACCAACTGAATTTACTGAACTACAGTGAATATTGTTCTAGTTCTGGACCGAAGACAGCCGGTCCTTACAGTACCGCCCCCATGGGTCAGACCGGCTAGACGGAGCATCAGCAGGGGCCCAGTTTCATATTTTGTCATGTTGCCAGCTGACCCAGGGGTTTAGCGCCTGGTTTAGCGCCTGTACTTAGTTCTATAGTGCTGCCAACATGGCGGCTGCTCTGCTCTTACTCGTTGATCTTCTTGTCCCCCTGGTGGACCTGCTGCAGGCTGGACATGTCCAGCGGTCCGTCCTGCTGCAGGATGAAGGTGTCTCCGTACAGACTCAGCTTCTGCAGGTTTCTGCAGAGAACAAGACAAAAACGAGTCGTCATGTTGGCGGGAAACATTTTACCGCCTGGTTTACTGAAACGTTTGTTCTTCTGCGTTTCGGCAGCAAGCAGTCGGTCAGAAGTCAGCAGCAGCGTCGATGTTTCCAAACTAAATTATGACTCATTAAGATGTCAACATGAAATAATGCGTCACTTTGTTAAGCTCTTATATGTGAGCTGCAGCAAAGGTCAAAGGGCAGCAGAGGACATTGACCTAAACACAATGTTTCCATCTCCCATGACGGCGTCTGGAAGGCGGCTGCATGCGGTGTGAAGCCAGGCCGCTTCCTGAGCAGCTGCCGACGTAGATTTGCTTTTCCAGATTGTGAAACCAGGAAGCAGCAAACAGATTGTCTAGAATGGACCCATCAGCTGGTCCACTTCAGATCAACTGAGAATCTGTTTTACTCTTCAAAACTAAGAAGTCCCACAGTTTCTGGTCCATGAATGCATCAAGCAACGACGCCGACTTTAATGCAGTTTAATGATGATCTATGATTCATTCACTGGTGGACAAAACTAAAGTATTCATCAACAACATGCGTTATTTTTTCTCTTAAACCATTTTAATTCCTAATATAAGAGATAAAAACAATTAGTCCAAATCAAACTGGGGAGGTCAAAGGTCAAAAAAGACAACTGCTGCCTCTTTCGATGCTACTTGTAAGATAGCCATGTTTGATCATCAAATACTTTAACTAGGCCTTCCTACTGTAGAAGAATATCATCCAGTTATTGGTTTGAAGCGCAAAAGTTTTAAAATGCAGATAATCGATAAACAGAAGCTGCTAAACGACAAAAGCAGAACAACAGATGATGGCGTGGCCTAGACAAAGTAAGCAGGTCTGAATGGGGGCTTGTTTTGCTAGAAAGTCCTGCGGAGCCTGAAGAGAACGTAGGAGAAGCTGTTGACGGGAAAAGGAAAGTTTCCAGATTATTCATCCAGATTATCTGTGTAATCTGCTCAGGTGGGTTCTGACCCACAGCAGCTCATCAGGACCAACACGTCTCCACGTCAAGAGTGAATGTGTGTGTGTGTGTGTGTGTGTGTGTGTGTGTGTGTGTGTGTGTGTGTGTGTGTGTGTGTGTGTGTGTGTCTGTGTGTGTGTGTGTGTGTGTGTGTGTGTGTGTGTGTGTGTGTGTGTTTGCACGTATGCTGATGTCAGCAGGTCAGAGGCAACAAAGGCTCTCTGCAGCTGCATTGTACCTGCTGGTTCTGACACACACACACACACACACACACACACACACACACACACACACACACACACACACACACACACACACACAGCAGAGGTAGGACTGCTGATGAGATGAAAACGTCTGCAGATGAACGCTGTCAACGATGCTGAAGTTGGTGTGTGACTCAAAGCTTCATTAAAGGGATATTTCACTGATTTTCCATGAGCTGATGGTGATTAGCTCTGGTTAAAAACCCAGAGCTGGAAACTCCAGGCTTTTTATTTATGAAGATTCCAGAAAACACATTAGAATACATAAGAAATATTTCATCTTTTTATGCTGATGATTAAAAGTCACATCAAATGTAATCTAAAGGAACATTATTGTGGTCATTTAATTAATTAAATTAATAATCTTTGATTAATTAATAAATAAAAATGTTGCTTTGTCCAGTCCAAGCAAACATTTACACTGTATTCTTTGGAAATAATTATAATCAGCTACGTTTTGTTCTCATAAACAATATTTTGTATCACTGTCAAATAATTCAGGTTCAGTTTTTGCTCTGCTGATTATGAACATATGAAAGATGACCAAAACGTGCGTCCGGCTCCTGGATGGAGGAACGAGATTCAGACTCAACATAAAATAACAGATTTAACTCCTCGTCCTAATTTAAACCCATTAAATCAAAAAGTTGCATCTATTTTGGTAAAGCGTTAATAAAATGGCCTTAGATGTATTTTGTTGCATTAATATGCATATCTAGAACAGTATGAAACTTTCTCAATGTAAACAGAGCTGATCTCACGCAGATGTCTGACTTCCTAAAAACGGTGAAACAGCCCTTTACCTCTGCTGCGAATCGGAAGCCAACTTCGGCGTCCTCCGCACAGACATGACATGATTACGTAACTCCTAAAGCTGGTTTGTTTACAGTAAAAGCTGAAAATGTTGAGCGGTGAAAATGCCCGGAGGTTTTCCGGCAGAGCAGCAGCAGCGTGTCTCCGTTACCTGTTGTTGCGGATGCCGGTGAGGACACACAGCACCTGGTCCAAGTAGGCGGCCATGGCGTCCGTCCACCGCTGGGGCGCCTCCTGGCCGCCGGGAGGCTGCTCCATCCTGGCGGCCGCCGGCTCGCTGCTCAGCGGGCTGAGGTTCCCTTCCACCGGGGCCAGCTCCAGCTGCAGCTCCCGCACGAAGGAGCCGAACTTCCGCATGAGGAAGTCCAGCTTGGCCATCTCTTCGGAACCGGAGCCGTTACATCCGCCGACCCGCAGTTTGAGCTCCGTCCACAGCGCGGGGTAGAACAGGCACTCCCTCCAGCGGGAGCACACGGCGGAGGCCCGCAGCTTGTCCCGGTCGGACAGAAAGGAGAAGATGTGAACGATGAGCTCGCTGGGTAAAGCCATGGCCCCGACGCCATGGCGGCACAGAGCCATGGCGGCCAGTTGCTAATGTTCAAACCGTTTCTGCTGGAAGCGACGCTGCGCTCCGCGCTGGATGTCCGCGACGCTTCTTCCTCCCCTGAAAACAAGTCGCTCTTTTGCAGCTTCGCCTTCACTACCGGACCGAACCACTCCACGCAGGATGCGGGGAACAAAACGCGCCAGAGCAAAAACCCGCAAATTAGCGCTTCAATGTTAACTCGACTGGACTGTTTTCATTTATGTTCTGAAAACACATCGCTATGTCGCCTCCAAATGAACCTGATCTGTGTTTTATTTCCCGCTGGTTCGGTGTTTGGTTTCGTCCGGAGGCGCTCGTATTTTTGCCATATCGCTGCCGTCCAGCAGAGGGCGCTATTTCTCTCCAGCCGTTAAAGAAAAAAGAGAAACTGGAGCCAACACGTGATCTTTATTTTGGTGTTTGTTTCCAGCGTGACGCTCCCTCTTACGTTCACACCCCGCCGCAAAAATCTGACGCAGGGCTTCATGTGGGGGCAAAGCGATGCAGCACCAGCGACACAACATGATGTCACTCCCAAAAACATGGCTGCTGCAGAACGGCCAGCTGCAAATGGAGACAACAGAGTGAAGTCAGGAAGATTACAATAAAAAACATTCATCCTTTGTGTTGTGTAGAATAAAATCCTAATGTATCAGCATTAGAGCGGAAACACACTGACGCACTTTAAACATGAGCAATAATAATAAAATAAATGCAGTGACAGAAAAACAGAAGAAAACTAGACAGTTATGAACACACCAGACTTACAAAACTATTCACACTCCAGCTATGAGAAATGATCATCACACTCCAACTATGAGAAATGATCATCACACTCCAACTATGAGAAATGATCATCACACTCCAACTATGAGAAATGATCATCACACTCCAACTATGAGAAATGATCATCACACTCCAACTATGAGAATGATCATCACACTCCAACTATGAGAAATAATCATCACACTCCAACTATGAGAAATGATCATCACACTCCAACTATGAGAAATGATCATCACACCAACTATGAGAAATGATCATCACACTCCAACTATGAGAAATGATCATCACACCAACTATGAGAAATGATCATCACACTCCAACTATGAGAAATGATCATCACACTCCAACTATGAGAAATGATCATCACACTCCAACTATGAGAAATGATCATCACACTCCAACTATGAGAAATAATCATCACACTCCAACTATGAGAAATGATCATCACACTCCAACTATGAGAAATAATCATCACACTCCAACTATGAGAAATGATCATCACACTCCAACTATGAGAAATGATCATCACACCAACTATGAGAAATGATCATCACACTCCAACTATGAGAAATGATCATCACACTCCAACTATGAGAAATGATCATCACACTCCAACTATGAGAAATGATCGTCACTGTGAGATTATAATCTAAAAAGTGCCCCATGTTGCCTAGCAACAGCCCCAAGGCCTGAAAGGTTGTATGGACCAGAACCGGGTCCAGAACCACAGGAAACTCTGTTAACACAGGTTTCTGCTCCAAATAGAAGTTGTGCTTTTCTAACAAATCAATTAATTTAAATAAAATGCTAGTTAGTGAAAGTCACTATAATAATGTGATTTTTCTGGATTGATATTTAAATTCTGTCTCTAATATTTGAGATGAACGTATGATGAAAATGATAGAGCTTTCTGTAAGTCAGAATATTTTTTAAAAATAACCAGTGTATCAAATACTTTCAAATAATTTTACATTTTATTTTGATTAATTGGTTTGATAAAATTGTATAAGTTACACATATTTTTTCCGGTACCTCTTATGTTAATTTGCTTTTGTTTGCATTAGAATATTTCTTCCTTATGATAAAATATAAGTTTTTACAGACTGTAGACAGACTTTATTTGATGCTGTTTTAATAAGGTGTGATCTTTTGAGCAGCAGGTGGCGCCAGAGGGCTTCAGCTGTTAAAGACTTTTTCTCTCGTTGTAGTTGGTGAGGATGTTATCACGCCAAGAGCACAGCAGGGGGCGAAAGAGAGCAACACAACCAAAGATCCAGGTGTAAAATAACCAAACCTGAGTAAAAATATAATGGAATACATGATAAATACACCTGGGTAATAATGTTCTCACACTTGTCTTTACTTTAGAAGAATCATAAATAGACAACAATTTCAGGAATATTATTGAACTGAACTGAAACCAGGTAAAATAAGAATCATTTAGTAAATGACTATTATCAGCTCCAGGTTTGAAATATTCACCTGCTTACACTTTTCTGCTGTTGATGCTTTTTTATTGTCTTTAAATGATTCAAATTAAACTTATTTTCAAACACAGAATCTGAGAAAAATTCAGAAATGAGTTTTAAATGGTTTCATTTATTAAGGTAGAAATCTTTTCAAACTGGAAACACACAGAAAAATCAGTGGGATTATTTATTATTACCAGATAGTTTTAGTTGGTATTTTCCTTTTTAATACATAAAATCATAATTTGAAAACTGTTTTTGATCTTTGTCTGATGCTTTAGAAACACGTCTTGCTGCGTTGTGAAGCTGCTGGCCTCCTGACGCAGAGGGCAGGGTGGGAACATGTTCCCTGTTTGTCTCTCTGACCTTTTGACCCCTCGTGTCAGTCACAAACATTTGGTGAATTACAATCGCCTGAGAAAACAGGCAATGGACACAGAATGACAGAGAAGCAAGGGTTGTAAAAATGATGTTCAGTTTTTAAAAGCTGCTCCAAGTGTTTGCAAACAGGATTCAATCCACAGGATCATCTGAAGGTTAAAAACCAAAATCATAGAAAACCAATGAACCAATTTGGGAAGAAAACAAAAACATTTTCTAACAATGAAATAAAAACAGCATTTTCCAGTTTTGTGTCTTATTTTATTTTTGTCAGGTTCTGTGTTTTTCTGTGTCCTGATTTCTCCTCGTTGTCCTGTCTTCCCCTTGATTGTTCCAAGGTGTCTCTTGTTCCCTTGATTACCCTCTGTGTATTTAGTCCCTCCTGTGTCCTCTGTTCCTCGTCGGGTCCTTGTCGTTGTTTGTCGTAAGTTGTCGCCGTTTGTCGCTAGTTTGTTTTGTGTCGCCCTTAAGACCAGTTGCTACCGGTGTGAGCCCTGGCTTCCGCCCAGCCGTGCTGCCTGGCCGCGGACTCTGTGTTTTTGTGGACTTGTTTTCATTAAATATTTCATTATTCACCATATCTGGGTCTCCAGCGCCTGCCTCACCACCTCCAATACACCACTTTCATGACAATTTTACTTTTGGACATTTTCGATTCACTTGTTTCTGATCTGGTTCCATAATTTGTGCAGATTAATTTGTCTGATGCTTCATAACTAACTTTTCTTTTCAATATGAAAAGATGCTCAATATTATTAAATTCCCTCTCTGAATGCAGAGACAGTCATTTATTCATATTTTAATATTTGTTATAGTTTTACCAACATATCCTGCTGCTATGTGATTCTGAGCAACATGTCAGTGTTTCATTATTTTTATTAAACTGAAATAAAAGCCTCCAATGAAACCAGCAGCTCCAGTTTAATCCACCATCAGGAGTATCGACAGAACTCTGGTCTGATGGGTCACAGAAGGTCAACTGTTCCTATCCATCACACTTCATTAATAATTAACACACACACACACACAGACACACACACACACACACAGAGAGACACACACACACACACAGACACACACACACACACACACACACACACACACCCACACACACACACACACACACACAGAGAGAGACACACACACACACACACACACACACACCCACACCAGAGACAACACACACACACACACACACACCTCCACATGTGAGTGATGTAATAGTATCTGCTGATGATTTGGCGCCGCTGCGCGCCGCGCGCTCATCTCCCGGCCGCCAAATGAAGAGAAGATCTTCCTGGTTTGTGGACAAATAAAGAGTGAGTGAATATTAGCGCAGAGATCTGAATGAACCGCTAAAAGCAAAGTGACGCTGATGCGGCTCGGAGGAGAGGCAGGTGGAGTCGTGGCTGCTGGGAGGGAGGGCGGAGAGCGGAGCGTCCTCCCGTTGTTCCCGCTGCTGCTGTGAGGCGTGCGTAAAGACGCGTAGATAGACACGCTCCGGCAGCTCGAGTTGGACCGGACCACTGCTCCAGTGCGACACGGGATGTGGTTCGGACCAGCGAGTGGTGCGGCACCGCGGGGGGACGCATCTGAAGCAGCCTGTCTGAACACACCGCGGGGGTGAGGAGGAGGAGCAGGAGGAAGAGGAGGAGCAGGAGGAAGAGGAGGAGCAGGAGGAAGAGGAGCAGCAGGAGGAAGAGGAGCAGCTCCAGCGGAGAGGCAGACAATGCGGCTGGTCGATGCGCTCATTGCTGCTCTCTGAGAAAACAGGCAATGGACACGGAATGATGCGTCGTGACTTGATTTCATTTCTTTCTTTTTTATTTTGGGATTCGCGCTGAATATTTTTCCTGCCCTCCCTGGTTGCTAAGGAACCAAATCAAAGATGAAATTCCCAATAGAAAACCCGACAAAGCAAGTAAACTGGGACCCAGAGCAAGGTTGGTGAATCCATGTTTTCCTCTTCAGTCCTGAGTTTGCTGCCAGTTGCATGGAGCCTGGCAGAGCAGCGGCTCGCTGAGGTGCTGCTACCTGCAGCACATCCATCCGCATTACATTCTTCACACGCCTGAACAGTTCTGCTGCTTCTGTTGCTCATTTGTCTTTTATTTCCACTGACAGTCTGGATCATGCAAATGTGTGTGAACAGCAGAATGTGTTTGTGACAGGCTGATCTCCATCATTCCTGTTCTTAGTTGTGCAAAGCAGCATTGATGGGAAAGTCAGAACAGCAGAATGTCTGAGACACGAAGCTTTTCAAAACAAAAGCATGAAGAGCTACTTTCCAAATTCACCCCAAAGATATTTCATTTCATTTTCAGAGATACATAAATAATATTCATTAAAATATGGACATATTGGTTAACATGTTGGTTCCAGTTCAGTTCAGCTTGTTGGTATTATCGACTGACATCTTAAGGCAGTAAAAGTCAAACAGGTCCAATTCACATTCAGTCAAACAGAAATCCAGTTCAAACCGGTTTTATAAAATCATATAAATTAATTGGATTCACTGATAAACTGTCAAATCAGACATATGCATAAAGTCATTTACATTTATAACTCTTTCAGTGACTTTTAATCACAAACCAGAAACCGAGCAGAACCAAACGATCCGAATAAATATTTCAAATTTAAATTATTTAGACAGTGGTTTGATTTTTGCTCCTGTTATTAATTTAATTGATAATAAATAAGATGACTTCTGCAGTATTATTCCAAATGTTTACATCTGTCCTCTCTAATGTAATGTTACAAATCTCTGTAACAAGTTAGACAAATTATATTCATATAAAAA